TAGTGGGATTGACTGTCACATTATAACGCCCCACGGCTGAAAGAGCGAGCATGTTTGGTGTGACGTGGCCCGTAGCAAGTTGATAATTGTTTTTTAAGACTTATAACCTAGCTAAATTAATATATAGAATTATACACGGACTTTTCTCTATGTTAAAATACTTTTATTTGCGGGTTTTCTGCCCCTTACCAGAATCTTCATCGGCCAACAATGTACTGAGTGATAAAAATTCGTTCAACCGTGGGATACTGCATTAGAATTGGTATCAAGGCAACAATAGTAACAATAACTGACATTTGGTATTAAAGATCTTAGACATATAGAATTATGATGAATACAGAAGATAAATCGGTTGCTTCAGTATAATAAACAAGGAAAATACCATTATACGTATTATCTAGAGAATAAAGGAATTTTTCCTACTTCAAACAATACATTGTAAAATTAAAGAGAAGAACATAATCAAATATTATTGTAATGTAGTTAGTTTTCATTTGATTTAATGTTTTTCGAACTAATTCAACGAAATAATTTAGACAGCATTGTTTTAATTACTTTAAATATACATCACTGCCCTTAAATTTCATAAACTTTGTGCATTCAAATGTTTGTTTGTTTGTTTGAAGTTAAGCACAAAGCTACATAATAGGCTATCTGTGATCTGCCTACCACGTGTATCGAAACCCGGGTTCTAGCGTTGTAGGTCCGCAGACATTAAGAAGATTAAGAAGGTAGAGTAGTGTCAAAATTATAATTGGCCTAACGTAAAGATTTTTGTATATTATTGGTAACTGACATATTGGTTATAGACTATCTACAATAATTACTTTAACTTCTTTATCAACCGTTACGTGTTTAATTAATATTAATTCATTACTTACATAATTTAGCTTATTACATATTTTCAAAGCTCTATAGACATAAGTATAGAAAGCAGAATTTTTTATCTCCTTGTATGACATGATTCTTGATGTGGTTGCATGGAAATAGCAAACGGTTTTCGTTAAACTGATCTTTGTAAATTGCTATATATATAACAAGACACACGTTAGTGTGTCATGCGGCCAAAACAGCCTGCTATGTGATATTAATAAGAGTGATAGTTTAGCGACTTTCCACCTCCTGTATCTCGAACTATGGTAATCCAAGCTAAAGAATATTTTCCGCGGATGTGCTCTACTAGACTCTTACTTCAAATACCAAATTTCAAAGCAATCTAATAAGAAATATATAACATTTCCAATTTGGATTGAGTTTCTTACTTTTTTTTTCGCACCAAAAGTATGGAAACTTTATTTAATAGAAAAACATACTTAACTTTATGGATTTTTTTAAATTTGCTACTCTGA